CGTGTGAAATAGTGCTTTTTCATTTCTTAAGAATTTGACTAGCGTTCTGTATGCTTCAGGATTTGTTGTTTGGATTTTTAGTTGATCTGGCGTTGACTTACACTGTAAATTATCAACACCAATTAACTCGCAGAGTACGGTGCATAATTCAGGGAAATCGCGAACGTGTTTTATGAATATAGGAGGGGGAGGTTTGATAGATGAGGGAACGTCTGGTTCAAAATTTGTATCCTGCGAGTCTTCATCAGGAGGTTCTACCGATTGTTCCAATGAACTGAGAACTTCGTAACGATTATTCGTAATGAATAATTTTTTTTTAGTTTTAGAACGGCGTATTTGTGGAGAGGTTGGTGATTCCGGATTAGAATAAGAGGAATTGGAGTGATTCCTTTTCTTTTGAGTTGACCAGTCACTCGTTGGTGTGATGTTAGACGAAGAAGCCTTGTGATTTGAATCATTTAGATTTGTATTTACATTGAATTTTGGTTTTGCGAGTTTGTTGATTGGAGGCGTATCAGCTTTGTTGTTTTTGTTCGTAGTTGTTGACATTGTGGTCGATGCGGAGGTGATTAATTAATTAGATTAACCGATCCGTCGAAGACGGTCCGCAGATAAGGAAACGCCGATCGGTGTGTTACGTAATAGAACAGCAGTTGGACTATTTATGAATATAATTATTTTAAAACTGTATAAAATAATATTCATTCGTACGACTGTACGAATGCGTGGTAAAACAAAATAATAAATAATAAAAAATAGGTTATTTTTGTTTATTTATATGTACGAGAGACATTAAAGAAATTGCTATATTACGTTAATATTTAAATATTAAACGCGTTGTTTAATTAAGCACTAATTGGCAGGCGAGGCACGACGACGTTGATAACATACGTGTGTATCGGACGGCTGCCGCAACGGAACTATAGATAAATTATAAAATAAAAAAACCAAATAAAAATTAATTATTATTTATTATAATGAAGTTTATAACATGCCATTTATTTTTTAAAAATTATGTCCTCAAGATGATGGCCATCTCTTCTACTGGATAAATTAAACGATAACGCATGTTTTCGTGCAGAACGTCTCGGACTCTTTATGAGAGCGGCTCTGACAGCAACGACGTTTTCAGGTGTGCGAATGGTTTTTTGTCGTACAGGCTTCTTTTTTAATGCTGAACCCGTTTCTTCAAAGTTGGTTATCCATATTTTAATAGCCTTAGCCGATGGTACCKAATCATGCCGTTTAATATTAAAATGAAGACGAAATTCACGCTGTTCGTAACTGTTATTATTTTTGTAAAACGATTTTATCGCATAAGCACGTTGATTACCACTCCACTGTTCCATGTTTACTAAATGGCATGTTGTCTTTGAACTAATAATATTTAGTGAGAATTCTTATCTTAATTACTACTGAGAAAATMTATTTTTAAAATCGGCCGTTTCAGTGCCCCACCCTGTATTATTAAAATAATAATTAATCATGTCTCTTCATGAAAATAATTTAGTTTTGCTGGAACATGAGCTTTAAGTTAAAAATGCCGCGTTAATAGTGTTACATTCTGTTTTAAAAAACAAAAAAAAGACGAGTCGACGAAATAGAAGATGGTGGACCACGATAAACTGGGACAAATTTATTGGATCATTTAAAATTTGACAAAACTACTGGCAGTTTAAAAACTTTATTCGAATGGAATCAGAAGACTATGAATTTTCGCTGTGCAAAATTGGACCAAAAATTATGAAAAATGACATTAACATGAGAAACGCAGTTCCAGTTGACAAAAGGTTAGCAATTACATTGAGATTCCTTGCTACAGCAGACTTTTACACTAGTCTCCAGTATACGTTTTTGATATCAAAACAACTTATATCACTCATAGTACCGGAAGTTTGTCAAGCTATTGTTGAAGTTCTGAAGCAATATATTAAGGTAATATAAAAACTAAAATAATGAGGAAATTCTAAATAAAAACAGACAATAAGTACAGCAAAAAAAGTATTTTATTGCATAAAAATTAAAATGACATTCTTTTGTCAAATAGAGAAACAAATAACTAAGATAAAAAACATATTAAACCTTTATAATATCGCGTTTAACAAAAAATTTAACAAAATTTATGAAAATCTTTTTCATAATACTTTTAAAATAAAATAAAATAAAAAAATTATCAAATGAGTTTGGCTGAGTTTCAGTATGGTTGTACAGTCCTAAGTCATGAGTTTGAGCCGTTTGAAGTACTGGTGAAAGAAACTCGTGAAGTGGTTCATTTGGAGACAATGAAGTGACGGGCGTATAGTGATAAGGAGAGGCCGTGGATGACAATGGAGAGCTTTGAGAAAATGTTGCAGATGGTGTTGAATAGGCGTTGAAATTTGGATATTGAGGTTGTTGAAGTACATGGCTATTAGGTAGATCAAATTTTCCCATGTCGGCTTCAAATAATATATTATTAAAATAATGTTGGACAATGCAACTAGCGTGGAGGTATATTTGCGAAGTTTATTCGCAAGATGCTGTCCATAAACTGACCAATCATCAGGTGTAGAGAGAGTTGGATAAGGTCGTTTTAAAATCTCAATAGCATCCTCTGTGCATTTATCCGATATTTGAGTCTTTTTTTTTTCTTGTTAGTTGTTCAGGAATAGAGAACGATTCAGGGTTAATTTCTTGTTCTTGTTGAGTTAACTCACATTCTGGTAAGTCGTCACCGTCATGCACATCTCCCGACTCGTTTAAAACATCTTCCTAAAATAAAATATGTTATATAAATAAGACAAATTTAGATTATTCATAACATCAAACAAACATACGAATCAATGAAACTTTCCGCTACTTATTTTTTTATAAAAGTAAGAACTTAAGAATTATGACTGTAGAGCAGAGAACCTGTAGCATATGCATACTTGTTTAGCACTATCACAAAAATAGCAGAGTACGAAACCAAATACGTTGCATGCTTTCACAAAGCTAGTTTTGAAATTTTATTTTGCATATTAATACATATTTCTTCTATTTTATATTTTTAGATGCATATTTTAAATAATTTATCATTTTTATAAATATTTTTTAAAAAATATAAAGTATTTCAATATATTTATWTTTTATTTAGATGCCTTCCTCTCCCAAAGAATGGACTGATGTAGCGGATCAATTTGATAAGCAATGGAATTTCCCTCATTGTTTAGGGTCAATGGACGGGAAACACATAACTTTGCAAAGCCCGATTAAAAGTGGTAGTGATTATTATAATTACAAATCATTTTTTAGTATCGTTCTGTTCGCACTGGTCGACGCGAATTATAATTTTATTTATGCAAATGTAGGTTGCTAAGGTAGAATTTCCGATGGGGTGTTTTCAAAAATTGTGATCTTAACAAAAAAATAGAAACTAATAGTTTAAATGTACCAAAAGCACTGCCACAACCTCAAAGAAGTATACATATACCATTTGTTTTTGTAGCTGACGAAGCATTCCCACTAACCGAAATAATAATGAAACCTTTTTCTGGCACCCACCCTACGAATTCAAAAGAGCGTGTTTTTAACTACCGTTTAAGCAGATGTAGGAGAGTAGTTGAAAATGTCTTTGGAATTTGTTCCTCAATTTTTCGTGTTTTACGTAAACCGTTATTGTTAGAGCCAGAAAAAGCAGAAATTGTTATGATGACTATTGTTTATTTGCATAATTTTTTAAGGTGAAGTAGTTTCTCTCGAAACACTTATACTCCTCCCGGTTGTTTTGATAGAGAGGACGAAGGACATTGTAGACAAAATGATCAACCATTACAACCCCTTCGAAATATTCCCCGTTAATCAAAAACTACTGCACATGAAATAAGAAACGAGTTTGCAACATATTTTAGTGAAAACGGAGCACTGCCTTGGCAAAATAACTATGCTATAGCCATAACTATGGTCGAGGATCATCTCGATCTAGCAAAAACTGAAAAGCCTCAAAGGCAAACCACTTGGAAACATAAACGTCTTTTCGTCCTAAATAATAATCAATTAATTTATATTTTACCACTTTGTAAATTGTAAATTCTATTTAAAATTGTAAATAATTCTACACGTATATAGGTAAGTACAATGTTTATACGATGATCCAGTTCCCTTATATTTTCTTTATATTATAATATTAAACTAATATAATACTAATATGTAACAAATAGTTTGTATTGTTTTCAATAATATAAAATATAGAATAGTTAACCACTTGTCAGTCATTAGTCATTTCTGTTATTTTTTTTTTTTTGTATTATAAGCTATTAATACAGGACAATTAAATTATTTATATTCCTTTATTAATTTGTTATTTTAAAAATTTAATTTTAGGGTTTTTCATAACTTGGGCTGTTAAAAATTTATTTATATACAGTAAAGAAATAAAAAGTCCTTGTTAAAAGGTAAAAAAACTACTTATTTATCTCTTCTTTTGACGCCCATTATATATTAAGTATATTTTAATTTATAATATCATTAATTATCATACTAATATACTTTACTTATATGCTAATGCAGTGTTTATAATCAATGGAATTATTACCATACAATATTAATATATATGATTTAACGTACCTGTACCAGTCCCCATGGTCTTCTTCCCTTTGGCCTTTTCTCGGCAATAAGATCCTAATAGACTTAATGCTTTTTTTTAAGTTCTTCGGGATTTTTGTTGAGCTTTTTACCTATTTCTTCCCACGCATCTTGTTTTTTCGTTTTAGAGAAATATAATGCATGTTTTGGATTCCACAATACTTCTTCTTGTTGATACTCTTGGATCAGCTGAATTCAGTCTACGTTGCACCACTCCATTTCAATTATTTAGTTTAAAAATGCAATTAAAAAACTAAAGAGTTAAGTAGCTAGCACAGTAGCACGCATGAGCAAGTTAACTTTTTCTACGTACGCGTCCAAACGGAGCAGTGCGTCGGGCAATTATGTCTTTGAGCAATCACAATTTACCGACAACAATCGGATCGCGTTAGCTTGACATGCTCAGCTTGTACGTGCTCTCGTGTGGACGCGCCTTTAAATCCGCGCTTACCGCGCACGAAACGCCGCAGTGGTCGGTCAAGCTACCGATCGTTTTACTCGCACTACGCAGCACCGTGAAAGCAGACGTCGATCATACTCCAGCCGAGTTGGTATACTGCACCACGCTCCGACTACCAGGCGAATACTTTCACCACGCGCCACCCGAGCTACAACCGCCTGAGCTGGTAGCTGCCTTACGTCAATCGATGGGACAACTATGTTTCACGCCCGGTGCTAACCACGAAACCCGACGCACCCACTTCGTACCAGACGACCTCAACCGTACGAGCCACGTTTTCATCAGGATAGATGCCGCCAAGTCGCCGCTCCAGCCACGTTACGAGGGACCGTCCGCAGTTTTGGAACGCCGCGAAAAAATATTCAAGGTGCAGCGCGGGCAATCATCGACGACCTGGATTTCCATCGAACGTCTCAAGCCAGCATTTGTCTTACGCGAGGATCCGATCGCCGTCCATTCCTACTCGCGTAATTCCGTATAAAAAACAACGCTCGGTTGTTTTTTCTTTTCGCCGAGGGGGAGTAATGTAGTGATACGGTTCTATCACCAGCATAGCGCGCCCGTCGCGTGTTGACCGCGGTCACGGTTCTACCGTACTGTTTGTAGTAATATTATAATATGCTTATTGTATTTATTGTGTCTTATTTGTATTTATTGTAAACTTGTACCATTTATACCGTACCCATTTTTATTGTATTATGTTTTCACCCGTGCAATTATTTCGCGCGTGGGTACCGCACCCCACCGCTCGCGCGCATTTCGACGGCGGCTAACAACGCTCTGGTACGTCTCGCGACAATCGCTCGCGACACAGTCTTTTTCCCTACGGTCTACGCGCACGATCGCCGATCGCTACGCCGCACCTAACCTTACGCGACGCCGTACATTTAATCACCGTTTTGTGTTTTATTTTTTTATAAATATACCGGCGATTCAACGCCTTAAAACACACCACGTGTACGTTGTTCGATCTCTTTATTTGTCTTACCTTCTGAACAGAGTAATAAAAGTTGGTCGTTAGTGAGAGACGGTTTTTCCTCCACTAACGCCACAACATCAATATTTACCTCCACAGCGACTGATAACGAAAATAGATCATTTTTGATTTTAATCACCTCAGCGACCCGAGTGACCCCTGTACATGTTGTTTTACAGTATTTACATTTTTCTTATTATCTACTGTAAAGAGCAGTTTTCTCATGACTGCAGGTATGGTACTTTCTTTTGTATTTGTATCTAAATTAAAATGGAAATGGAAATCAATAATGGTTTTATTGTATACTTTTTACCTACTTCATATTATTGTCTTATTTTTTATGTGATTGTATTAATATAGATAATAAGCTATTAATTTTTACATCATACCTACTAACTGCTATTAGCCAAATTAACCATGTAACATGTTCTTTTAGACATAGTATAATATATTTTGTACGAATATCGTAGGAAAACAAAGTAAATTAATAACAACGTTGAACGTAAATAAGATGTTTTAAAAATAATAATAATTTGACTCATGACAAAAATAGATATTGTGTTTATGCCACGATGATAATATTACTTGTCCCCTTCTGAGAGATAATTTAATTACATTTTTAAACAAAATAATTGAAATGGAGTGGTGCAACGTAGACTGCATTCAGTTGATCCAAGAGTATCAACAAGAAGAAGTATTGAGGAATCCAAAACATGCATTATATTTCTCTAAAACGAAAAAATAAGATGCGTGGGAAGAAATAGGTAAAAAGCTCAACAAAAATCCCGAAGAAGTTAAAAAAAAAGCATTAAGTCTATTAAGATCTTATCGCCGAGAAAAGGCCAAAGGGAAGAAGGAGATGATGTTTTACTTACTTCACTCACAACAGATTCTTTAAAAGTACCTGTATTATTTACACATGCTGTGGTACTATTTAATGAAACATTATCCGAATAAGCTTTAGATACCTAGCAAAAAACTATATGATTAGCATACATTATTATAAAATCTAATATGAGATGACGTTTTACTTACTTCACTCACAACAGATTCTTTAAAAGTACTTGTGTTATTTACACATGTTATGGTTGTATTTAAAGAAAGTGGATTAGTGGAAAACTTGTGAACCAGTTATCAGCTGTAATATTTCTGTTACTTCCTTCTACTGGTTGTACAAGTCTAAAAACAATATCTTCACCAGAATTTTTACATTTATATGGCCCTTCAGGTTGAGTACCTACATAAGCTTCAAGATTAAATGTATAAGCTGTTTTGGCATTAACTAACGCAAACATTTTTAATCCATACTTGGCCGGTTTGCTAGGAATGTATTGTTTGAATGAACAACGACCTCGAAACGCTAATAATTGTTCATCAACTGTTAGATATTCACTTGCTATAAAATTATTTTGAAAATTCGCAATAAAATATTCAAATACTTCTCTTATAGGTGCTAATTTGTCGATTTCTCTTCTTTCATTTCTATTATTTATGTCATCAAAACGGATGCATCTAACTAAAAATCTGTAACGTTTTTCACTCATTGCTAAATAACATGCTTCAACTCCACTACCTCTAGAATTATCCCAAATTTGATGAACATTTTTTCTCGCACACCTTAAAGCCCCAATCAAATTTTTAAATGAACTGATAGAAGATATAGGTACCAGTTCATATTCTATCATTCTTGATGAATCCTCAGATATCGGCACAAATAAATATATGGCCTTTTGTGTGCGGTATTATAGCTGTTCATAATTAGATATAATTACAGACTTCCTAGGGTTTGTTGAAATTGAAAAGGCAACTTCTGAAATTTTAAAGACTATTTTTCTAGAATTTTTAGAAAAATCAAAGTTGAACATACAAAATCTAATAGGTATTGGAACAGATGGTGCCAGTAATTTATGCCGTAAAAATAAATCATTATTTACACTATTAAAAGAAATAATTCCACATCTTCAGTTAATTAAATGCGTCTGTCATTCACTAAACATATGTGCTTCAAATGCGTGTGATGAATTACCAAGTAGTTTGGAATTTTTGGTCAGAGAAATTAGAAGTTGGTTTTCGCATAGTTCATTAAGACAGTTAAGGTATAGGGATTTGTTTCAAACATTATATGAAGGAAAACAACCACCTCGTATTGTTCAACTGTCAACCACTCGTTGGTTGGCATGGTATGGTTGTATAAAATCTGTCCTAGACCAATGGCTACTTTTAAAAACGCACTTTAATTTGATTTCTAAAAGTAAAGAAGGGTGTTATACTTCTCGTACTTTATCAGATATGATAAATGATGATACACATTTACTGTACTTACTATTTCTTAAACCAGTATTATATGAAGTTACTCAAGTCAACATAGTTTTTCAAGGAACCAACGTTGATATTTACAAGGCTTATAATGACTTAAAAATACTGCTTATATCACTTTTAAAACGTATACTGAAACCATACTATATGAAAAAAATATTTGATGACATTTCAAATAAAAATATTATTAATGTAATTGATATTGAAGTTTTACAGAATAGTTTAAGGTTACCTGAAACACATTTACCATGTAATTCTGTTGATTTTGGTCATCAGTTTAAAGAACAGTCAAAAATAAGTTTACAAAAACAGTCCATAGATCAACTAAAGTTAAATTTAATCATGGAAAGAGCAGCAAGATTTCTGTTACGTTTGTGTCATGAAATAGTAGAAAGACTTCCACAAAATTTAAAAGTTATAGAAAAACTTAAGTACTTATCACCTTCATTTTGTTTTGATTTTGGTTTACAACCAATAGTAACATTTAAGGATTTTTTCCCAAACTTGGCAGGTATATAAATATGTAAATACCAGTACATAGTATATGCAATATTAAAATGTATTATTTTTTTTTTTTGTTAATAGAAGTTAATGTTGATAAAGATCTGTTGGAAATTCAATGGAGGACGTTAGGATCAATCAGTTTTAATGATATATTTCCAGGCAAATCGGTTCATGATATTACACTAATTAACTGTTGGGCTACGTTATCCCAAGTACAGGTAATGCTGCAGGAGATCATACTTTTAAAGAACTTAGTGAGTTTGCATTACGATTATTGTCATTACCAATTTCAAATGCAGTGGTTGAGAGAATATTTAGTGTAATGAATGCTACAAAAACCAAAGTTAGGAATAGGATGAGCCAATCAATGTTGGTAGCATTGATTAGAATAAAAGTACATAACAGTGTAAAAAAACAATGTTGTACTTCGTTTATTCCGTCAAAGCAAATGTTAAATTTATTTGATTCAAAAATGTATGATTCTGACAAATCACTGAAAATTGCCAACTTTGATGATTCTGATGATCTGTTTACAACCATTACAATTTTAAATTCAGTTGAAGAAGATGAGTGACTATTAATATTATTTTGTAATAGTATATGTTCCTTTTGTTTGATCTAAAAAGTCTTAGTTAAACATTTTATTTTTTATTTGTTGTTAAACAGATAACTTGTTTTTTTTTAATGTTTTGTTAATATAAATGTTTTTATAATGTATTTTATTGTTTTTTTATTTTATAATATATAGGCACAAAGTCCTCACAAAAATGTTAAAATAAAAATCTTGAACACTTATTATTTAGGCCTATGAAAATGATGATTAAGTCAAATTCGTAAAATGTGTCATATCAGGATATGGAAAACCTCAGTGTTACAATTTATAAATCAAAAATATATCACCTATTCGCCTGCATCAAGCCTGAAGGATGTCACTACAATTAATTATCTAACATACTACCACAGAATATAATAATTACTACATTTTAATTTAATTTAGAATCGACATTTTCTAATATTTAATTATAATATAAAATTTATCTGTTATCTATGGATGTTATATTATGATAACGCGAAAAAGGCGATTTTGAACATTCAAAAGGGAAAAGCGATTTGGGCGATATTAAGTGCTTTCTAGTGGCGACATTGCAACGAAGGTTTCTGGCAACGCTGAGTCATTACTGAATTGTTTGACAGTGGACACACGGTACACACGGACGATACACGGGCAGTATAATTTTTAAATCTTGACGACAGGTAATTTGTGAATTTATAACTTAATTATTATAAAATTATTTTGTACGTAAATTTTCTTAGAGATTTTATTTTAATTAAACTAGGTTATAAGTTGTAACAATGGCTGATGGTAGGAAAAGATTAAGTGGACATGAGTACAAAAGATTGTCGAAATTAAAAAACAAAAAAATAAAAATATTTTAAATAAAACTCAATTACATACGTATTTTAAAAAAAATCCTGATTCAAATAGTGGTGAAAGCATAGAAGTAGAAACCCAACAAGTTTAAATAAATACAATTATTGATAATAATTCTGAAAAAAATGTAGACACAGAAAAAAATTTCAATAAATCCGAACATTTACTTCCAATTTTTTTTGAAACCGATCCCGATAAATGGTTAATTAATGAATCTTTTCGTAACTATGTAGCAAAACATGGCTTAAATCAAAATCTAACCGATGATTTTTCTTATTCCGGTCGAAAATATAATGACAAAACACGGTATTTAACAAAACAGTTATTTCAGAGGAAAATGTTAAATGGTGAACTTGCATTACGTTCATGGCTTGTATATTCTAAAAGTAAAGGTGTAGTATTTTGTGGGTCTTGTCGTTTATTTGAAAAAAGTTTAAACAAAATTCAACTTGTAACAGAGTGGGTTATAATGACTGGAAAAATGCCAATCAGCGTTTCAATTGGCATGAAAATAGTCAAGAACATAAAAATTCAATTATAACATTAAAATTGCGAGGTAGAGAACTCGGAAAAATTGATAACAGTTTAGTACTACAACTACAGGAAGAGACTATATACTGGAGAAATGTTTTGAAAAGGGTAGTTGTTACAATAAAATCACTAACTTGTCGTGGATTACCGTTACGTGGTCATAATTCTATTTTTGGTTCTAATCACAATGGAAACTATATGATGTCTTTAGAATTATTAGCTCAATTCGATTCATTTTTAGCAGATAATATTGCACGTTTTAGTAATATAGGAAGCGGTACAACTTCTTATTTATCACACGGTATTTGTGATGAGTTTATACAATTAATTACGAAAAAAAAGAAAAATACTATAATACAAGAGTTAATGAAATCTAAATACTTTTCAATAAGCGTAGATTCTACCCCAGATATCTCTCATGTCGACCAACTTTCTTTTATGGTGAGATATGTACAGCATAACGGCGAACCTATTGAACGTTTTTTATGTTTCACTCCTAATACAGGACACAAAGCTGAACAATTAGTAGATGCTATTTTAAATATTTTAAAGGTTCATAACATTGATATTGCTAATTGTCGAAGACAGGCATACGATAACGCCAGCAATATGTCCGGCATTTATACAGGTTTGCAGGTCCGAATAAAAGTATTAAACCCCTTAGCTTATTTTGTACCATGCGCTGCACACTYTTTAAATCTAGTAGGAACATCTGCCGCAGAATGTTGTAGTGATGCATCTTCATTTTTTKGACTTATTCAACAACTTTACAATTTTTTCACAGCATCTACTCATAGATGGAATATTTTACACGACAATATGAAGCAAAATTCATACACACTTAAATCCTTATCAATAACTAGTTGGTCGGCTCGCGCGGATGCATGTAGAGCTTTAAATGCATCATGGTCAGAAATAATAAACTCATTATCACTTATTAAGAATAATGAAAACGAAAAATGCATTACCAGAAACGAAGCCAAAGGTCTTTTTAAAAGTTTACAATCTTTGGAAACCGCATTTTTGACCGTGTTTTGGACATATGTATTAGAACAGTTTAATATAACTAACAAAACTTTACAAGGTACTGCAATTGATATTGGTACTGCTTCAAAGTTATATACATYGCTTATTAATCTTATTCRAGAAACTCGGGATAGATTTGACTATTTTGAAGAACAAGCAAAAACTATGTCAGGAATTGAATTATATCAAGATGTAAAGTCCCGTCTAAAAAAAAGGAAAGTATTTTATGATGAAAAAAGCGATACTGATACATCAATGAATGGCCGTGAAAAGTTTAAAATATTTACATTTTATGTGGTTATTGATCGAATAGCAAGTGAATTAGAAAAACGGCGACAGGCTTATGATTTTTACTACACAAAATTTATCGTACTCCACAAGCTTATTTCTTTAAGTGTTTCGGAAATAATAGAATTTGCCAATAAGTTACAAGAATGTTACAAAGGTGATATTGAAAAAGCATTTTCAACAGAATGTATACATTTTAAATCCTATTTGGAATCTTCAAATAAACAAATTAATTGCATTTCTCCTCTACAAATGTGTAAATTATTACGAGAAGATTCTCTTACGGACGTGTATCCTAATATAGATATAGCACTTAGAATATATGTTTGTACTCCAATTTCTAACTGTACTACTGAGCGTTCTTTTTCATGTCTTAAACGAATCAAAAATTATTTAAGATCGACTATGGGCAGTGAAAAACTCAATAGTTTGGCTATATTGAATATCGAAGCGGATTTACTGTCGACTTTAAATTGCGATGATTTAATTGATGCATTTGCCGAGGCAAAAAGTAGAAGAAAAAATTTTAAGTTCTAATATTTGTAATTTAATGTTCATTAACAATGTATATTTTTTAATATAATATTATAATATAATAAATTGTATATTTAAATATGTTTTATAAATAATTTTAGGAATGATGGAGGGGGGAGGCGGCAAATTGGAAAGTGCCTATAGGCGGAAAACCCTTAAATACGCCACTGATTTTGTGTCAAAGTCAGGCGAATATAGCATACTTTTCAAAACTCCCTCACATTCAGTATCTTCACGTAAACAAATTATACGACCGAAATTTGACGTCGTTATAATATTCCTTCTACATTCAAACCATTTTCTAGATGCACTTTGTTCGGAAGTTTCTTTTTCTATTTGTTTTCGATCAACTGCCATATCCTGAATTGATTTTAATATTCTATCTTTTTCTTCGTAATATTGTTCATCATTCATGTCTGGTTTTTGAGATTTGACACCATATGCCGGGTCGATATTATGGCTTTGAAATTTTATTTTTTTCCTATAAGAATTAGATCTTAATTCATTTTGACGAATACGTTCCATCAGTCGACGCATTTCAAGAATTGATGATGGATTTTTTATACCTGGACTTCGTTTTAGTAATGTTTTATGTAAATTATATGATTAATCCATCACAATTGAAAATGTCTATAAATTGCTCAAAATATGTTAAAACTTCAAATATCAAAGGTTAAGTTTTTGGTTTACATTCAAAATAATAAAAACGTTCCATAAGAAATCTTGGAATATCTAAAAAATTTAAAATTTAAATTCTTATCAAAAATTAGTTTGACTTCCCAATAGATTTTTTCTTACGCGTATAAAGATAAAAAAAACTTTTGAGGAATCTTGTATTAAATTTTCAAATCCTAGATACAGACAGACTATTTTTTTATGATTTTCTAATTCAAAAAATAATTTGCATATTTTCTTGATTTTCACGAATTTTGTCAAAATTTTAACTTGAGCCTTTACACTAAAGTCTAAAATCAATAATTCCTTGCTACGTTTGGAATCTAAAAAAATAAATAAATAATTTTTACACTTGCTTTTCATTTTCACTAATCGCTGTATCGACAGAAGACGAATCATTCTATAAATTATAGAAGTATTAAAAAAAATGTTAACTACTTAATACCATTAAGGTCTTCTTCACACGAGGCAATTCCTAGACGACGCGACGGATACTCGAGTATCTTGTAAATCACTTCCTATATTTAGTACTTGAAAGGCACAAACGACGCTACTCCCAAGCGACGCGTATCCTACGCGTATTCTACCAGTCTCTCGCGACTTGCAAGGAAGGTCGCCCGTCGTCTGCGCCGCCTGCGTCTCCCGAATATTATATTAATATACAAGTGTTTTCGAGTGTTTACCAGTTTTTGAATCAAACAACTATGGCTGAACACGCTTTCAACATAAAGTTTGTGGGTGAAGTTGAAAAAAGGCCAGAACTTTATAATTACACTTTGCCTCAATATTCCCGTAAAAATGTTGCGGAGAAGGGCTGGATGGAAGTCGGGAAGGAAATGAACTTGCCAGGTAAAAAAAAATGTTTAATTGAATGAAAATATAGTTGATAATGGTTATATAATTACATATTATGTATATTATATTAATATTAATTATTATTTTTAATTATTATATAATACCTGCTATAGACTATATTCAAATGTTTAATTCGGGCTAATCTATTATTTTTATTTTTAGTTCAATTATTTAATTCTATACGATTCATATTAATAATTTAATTTAAACGCGTGTTTATTTTTTTCAAGTTATAAATTATCTACAATATTATACTATCATGAACCATTATAAAAATAGTCGTATTTCAAAATGACATTTGTGAATTGCCCTTATCGTTCTATTATTATTCGTATTTGGTACATCTGAACGATACGAACTATTTTATTGTATCATACTTATTCTATATTTAAAAAAAAGCGTGTAATAACAAAAACAATTTATTATAAAAAAAAAAATAATAATAATAATAAGTAATGTAAAATATTATAAATCATCAATAAAATATATTATTATACAATATCAAATACAATATTTCCACTGCCAAGGAAGAGACGCTTGAGGGGTGATAAAGTAGGATGCTAAATAATTTCTTATATCGCTTGCGGAAGAACAACTATTTATTACGATATTTGGAATATTATTATCGTTTTGTAAAGGTAAGACTGCGACTCCGCCTGTGACATTTTCGTCATGTTGTGAAATGCGGTATTGTATACCTTCTCTTTTTCTAACGAAATTGTGAAGAACACAAACACTTTTTATTATATTATTAATTTTCTCTATATCTCGGCAACGGATTGGACTATTTAGTACCTGGAATTTCTCGCACATCATTCCAAACGCGCACTCTATAGTTTTTCGACCACGACTTAAGCGATAATTGAAAATTCTTTTTGTATTATCAAGAATTCTTTTCGAATATGGTCTCATTAAATAAGGGGATAATGGGAAGGCTTCATCTCCAACTAAGTAGAAAGGACAAAGGGATTCATTTATGTCATTCGGAAGCCAAGCAGGTGACGGAATATCAAGTCCACTGTGCGTCAACCAATATTTAATTGCTGAAGCACGAAATATACCACCATCGCTGTTTCTTCCTGCATATCCACATTCAATCATTGTAAACAACCCGTCCGCGTCACAACAAGCCATTAATACGATAGAATGGTAACCTTTGTAGTTGAAGTTACTCGAACCACTGTTCGGAAACTTTTCAATGCGCACATGTTTGCCATCAACTGCTCCTATACAATTCGGGATATTCCACAAAGAATAAAATCGTTCAGCAATTTGCTTCCATTCTTGTTTGGTTGGTATTGGAATGTAAGATTCTCTAAGCACATCACAGAATATCTTAGTAGTCTCGTACACGACATACCCAATGGTGCTCTCACCTCTAGCAAAGTAGAATGAAAGTGAGACAAATGTACACCCAGTTGCCAAATATCTGAAATAAAATAATTTTTATATTATTTATTAAGATCATTATTATTAAGATTAGAAATTTAATAAAAGTATGATAGTTATGGGAGTTTTAACTATTATTAATATTATTATAATTATAGTTTTTTTTGTTTTTTAAGTTAGTTTTTCTTTTTTTTTCGCAGCATCCGAATGTAAAGAACGTTGGAAAAATTTGAGGTCAGTTTTTGTTCGGAACTTGAAACCTCCCCCTAGTGGCTCAAGCTCAAAAAAAAAGAAACCATATTACCTAATGCAAGCGATGCAGTTTGCCCTGTCGTTTGTGAAGACCAACATGCCTACTGCTCCTGGAAATATGCCACCAGTTAACGAACAATGTGATTCTCAGTCTCTAATCGACCAAAATTACGGTGACATGCAAGAAAATTCAGGGCCATCTCGGGGCTTTTCTGCTGAAGTACCACTTTTGTCTCTAACTCAAATATCACAACCGGCTCCCCGAAAGGATTCATTTCAACCACTATCAATCGATGCCCAGCAGTCACCACTATCTCAATCACCAACGAGACCCCCAAAAGCCTCTGATATGAATAAAAAGAAATAAGGTTTTAAACGTGGAATTTCAAACACTGACGTTGATACTAAGTTTATGGATTTTCTTCAGGGAAAAACGACCAGATTGAGTACACCAAAAGAAAGAGATAATCCAAAAACTGCATCGATAAAATCGTTTCTTGACAGTTTGGTCCCAGAATTGGAGCCATTGACCGACCAACAACTCAAAACATTCAGGCGTAAAATATTTCAACTCATAGATGAAATATATCAACCAACACCTCAAACAACGAGTATTTTGTCATACGATTTTTCAAACTCATCATTTTCTCCTATGTCTCCTATCACGCTGCATCAAATGGAAACGCCTACGAACATCGAAGACAGAAGTAATTCCACAAGCGAATCAAATAGTTAGTTACCCACAGTTGGTATCTATGGCTACAGAAGAAGATAGATGATGAAATAGAGATGAAATCAACATGTTTTATCTTGTACCTATGTAATGTTAATTTTTTGTTTTGATCTTAAACTTTTAAATAGTTATTAAATATAATACTAAATTTATAAATAAAATTACTTACCTCAAAGTTATCAAAATCCTTCCTACCGCACTAACACATTCCCGCATTACTGTATCCCTCTGTCGTATAAATGGAGAAACTATGTTGATCAAAAGTTGGTATGATTCTTTTGACATGCGGTAAAATGCTATAAACTTATAATCAGACTTTTCTAGCTCTTTAGCAGCAACAAATAAACGACAGTGAATGTTCTTTTCAATATAAGCATGACACCACATTCTTTTGATTTTCCTATGTCTATAATAGTTGTAATAATAGGCGACTATTACATCATCATCACTTGACGAATCTTCATTTGATGACATAATTAAATTTTTTTAATTAAAAACTCAGCAACAAGGTTATAAGCGATTGGTGGCTAGAGGTAGACTGAAAGATATCGTCGCTTTGCAGTAACTTCAGAGTAGCTCAGTGTGTGGCAATGCGTTGCTTATGGGTATCTTACTAACAAGCAACTCAAGACAAACAGACTAACAGACAATACTCGAGTAGCCGTCGCGTCGTTAGGGAATTGCSTCGTGTGAAGAAGGCCTTATACTTTGATTTTGTTCAACTTTCTTACTTTTCCTGTAGTTTTCATCAACGCAGATATATTTCCAGGGTGTTTTTACGCCTAGATAAAAGAACCTTATGTTTTTTACTTTTTCTCCAATTAGCTGAATTATCCATTACTCATTAGAATAATATACATATAATAATAATAAAAATCCGAAACACAGTCGATGTCTCACACCTCGATTGGTAAGGAGTAATGACAGAAATGCAGAATAATAATAGGTATCTAATATATGTATATTATATTATTATTTATTACAATAACAACGATATGCCTATAATAATTATAGCGTGCAATATTGTGGGTGACAAGTGACAACTGACAGACGATAATATCGTTTGTTTAATATTATTATTATTATTACGATTCTAAAAATATTCTCTTATCGATACCGCTGCCGCGTCGCTACAGTATAATATTTAGTATTGCGATTGCGAATAACGTGGGGAGTGGTGGTGAGCAGCGGGAAACGGCATCGCATGAATTGTATATAGTTTCAATGTCGGCCGCAACGCCAAGAAAGCGGTGTTTTTTATAAATTAATTATTGTTTCCGTCTCAAAAGGCTCATAAGCAGCATACAATTGTTGGACTTTGAAAAATCATATTTAAAACCTGTAAAAAGATTCGAATTTTCCGGTCTGTCTACAAGGGAATGATCGTATACTTTTTTTAAATTATTCAAAACCAATTTATTATTAACGTTTAAAATTACAGGTTTGTAATGTTTAATTACTTGGTAAATAATGTATTCACAAAAAATCACTTCTATCGATTCCTAGTAGACAACTTGACGATTTCAAAATTTTTTTCAGAATTTAAATCAGACTTTCCTAACTTCTAAAGTGTTATTCTGCTTTTGAGTTAATATTTATATTGATATCGAATCCCCTTAACAAGTTACTATCAAAAGGCTGATTTTATTTTATAATTTTTCTTTTTTTTAATTCATAGGTACCTATTTTGTTTTGTTTTATTTTATAATTAATGTTATACTTATACATTTTTCTGGTTATAATTAAGTTATTAAATTTGACAAATGGTTATAAGTTATTTTATTTTATATTTAAATTTATTACATAAACAAGTTTTACTATCAAAAAGGTGGTTAAATACATACCTATTGTTTTATTTTTATTTTAAAATTACAAAATTGTTTAAACTTAGTAGGTATGATTTTTGGTTTTAATTCATCTAGTTTTAACTTGGTGACTAACCAATTTAAACTCTACTAAGTTTTCAAATCACTTGATATTATAAAATAGCTATAATTTACAATACCTACCAGTAGTTTTTTTTTTAATCAAGTTAATATATTACCTTAATGTAATTGTTAGTCTTTGTTCAGCACTAATAGAGTTACGAAACTGGGTATTTTCTTTTGTTATGTAAGGGCATAACTTCTCTAATAATTCATCAAAAGATGTTATAGACATCCTATAATACTCAAAAAACTTATCACTGTACAATCTCAAATTTGTATAAAAAGTATCAAATTGGTTCAATTCTTCTCTATCGTGGTTAATTGGATGAACCCAATATTTTACTATTGGTTTTGGTGGATTCAATTCACCAAATGCTTCGGCGACAGCAATCACTTTAAGTTAAATTGTCATAATCATTTAACTCCGTCCTAAATAAATTAAATGTAATTTAATAAGTACGCATATGCATTAAATTAACTATTAATTTAATTTATAATTTACTTACATGTATTTAGATGTTTGTGTAAAAAATCGTGGTGCGTACCTAGGTAGTTATAGAAAATTTAAATTTACAGTATTAGATACAGTGAAATATAGTAAATACAGTAGATCAAATGAGATCACAGACCATAGTAATTGTAGTTAACCAACAACTTTACTAACAATTTATACAATTGTCAATATTTTTTAAATTAGAAATTAATGTTTAACCAGTTTAGGCGCAAAAATCGAGTGTTAACACCAATTGTATCAGCCACAAAAAAACTCAGTGCGGTGCGGGTCGTAAAATCCGCGAACGGTTGTTTCGACCCGACGGCGAATATACCGCAGTGAGTTGGGACCCTAAGTGTACCTCTATGTACATTTGTCGTGTAATTATTTTACTGAAATTTGTAACTTCTTGATTTTAATAATTATTTTTCAAATTGATTATAAATCAATTATTTATGATGTTTACATACAATTTAAAAATGTTAAATGAATTATTATCAGGGATCGAAACCGTTTCATATTCTAACGGTTTCGGTTTCGGTTTTTGAGAACGGTTTTCTAAATTTTCTGGTTTTGGTTTAGGTTTTAAGATCGGTTTTTCAAACTTTTTGGTTGTTTTGGTTTCGGTTTCAAAAAAGGTTTTTAAAAAAATTTATCGGTTTCAAGRACGGTTTTTGAAAATGTTTGGTTTTGGTTTTTGGAACGGTGTTTTAAATTGTTATTATATTTTCCTACATCTAAAAACCGTTGACCCAATTTTTATTATCTATCTATTAACTATTAAGGGCTGAGCCTAAAGCCCTAAAAATTAAAATATAGGTATCCRATTTGTACACTTTGTGTAGAATGTACATACAATATKCYAAGTTATGAYCAACAGAACTAATTTCGTGTTCTCAACAACGTAGGTAGTAGGGGTACATTTCTACGGCCCCCCCGATTTGGAATTTTTGAATTCTGTTTTGACAGATCGTTTGTGCATCGTTTGTGCACGAATGTGCACAAAGTCCCGTCGTTTGTGCACAAATACAGGGGGGATTATCCCTAAATCAAATTCGGGGGGCCGTAGAAACGGCAGCCCCCCCGATTTGGAATTTTTGAATTCTGTTTGG